GTATAGTTTAAAAAAAAAATGTCATGGGGCGAGCTGTAGGTCATAGCAAAAGATAAGATGACACGGCGTTAGTGTGTTAAGGGCGCAAACTGATTGGGGAATAGGGGGGCAGAAACAACACGCCAAGCCGTAACCGTTTTGCAGTGTCTCAGTGTAACTGCCATATGACTATTGGGTTAAACGGGTTTTCCTAGGTTTTTACATGTTGGGCTAAAAAAAAAAATGAATGTAAATAATCAATATAAGCTATTCTTTTAGGTGCGAAAATATTTCTTGAAAGCCAATACTGATGTATGAAAGTGAACCAAGGGCAGTCAGCAGATAAAATTATATGGAAACTGTGATGTGGTGTTTTCGATCACATGCATGACGGTAAGTTAAGGGCAATGTTCCGTGTTTCGCCTCGTTCGCTAGCTCGCTCAGTTCTGATTTTACTGAATATCACGCAGGACTCCTGTCACACGTTCTGGTCGTGCACTGCTGTCAATTACCTGTGTCAACCAAAACAGATCTGGCACGGGGTCTCCAAGTTGGCTAACTCCAGAGAAGCTGTATCCAGAAAATACCTGACAGGCACAAGCCCACTCCCGCAACATAATATAATTGATAAAAGTAAAGTAAAGATCCCTTTTCACGCCTTTAGGCATATCGGGCACCCATATTTTAACAGACCAATCGACTCTAGGCGGGTAATGTGGTCAGCATTACACCAGCCGTCTTTACTGTCCAGGACAGCCATCTTAGTACCCATTTTGGACTGGGTCAACCTGCAAAGTAAAAGATCCCTTTTAACGCCTTTAGGCGTATCTGGTACATGGCAAGAGCGTCTAAATTTTTACAGAATGATTGATATCATCTTTCGAAAACTTATCTGGGAAAATAAAGGCCACTCTCCGAGCCTTCTACTAAATGACTAATTGTTTCAAAACGACTGTCAATCGATATTCCTGCCTAATGGCGATACCCTACTTGACGTTATAAAAGGTTCACATTTTTAACAGTGATCTTTCGCAGCCGGAGTACATCTGAAAGGGAAGGAAATAACAAACAGCAAAGTCAGTTCTGTTAAACTGATACGTATGCAAAACTGAAGTCATGTAACGAAGCGAGAGTCTAGTTTAGAAGTACAAGTGAGTACTCTACAGACGGTTAACACAAACCAACAAACATAGATAGTGTGGTTTTACACACAATAACGGAAACACCATTGGTAGGTACACAAGTAATACAGTGGTTGTGGAGGAGCTGAATTATCAAGAAAGAACTGATTACCAACAACAGAAGGGGACTAGAATAGGTTGACAGCATCTAAAATTCCTGCTTGAAGAAACTGTCTTAGCCAGCTTCTGTATTTCTTGCTTCCAGAAACTACTGTGGACAGCATTCAGAAGTCCTGTTTCCAGAAACTAACATGGACAGCATTCAGAAGTCCTGTTTCCAGAAACTAACATGGACAGCATTTAGAAGTCCTGCTTTCAGAAACTACTGTGGACAGCATTCAGAAGTCCTGCTTCCAGAAACTACTGTGGACAGCATTCAGAAGTCCTGCTTCCAGAAACTAACATGGACAGCATTTAGAAGTCTTGCTTCAAGGAACTGTCTTGTCTGTACACACTGGGATACGCCGGAGTGAGTAGTAATAAAAGGGACGGTTATATTAACGATTCCCGGCCCACGTACACCGTGACTGGACGTTCATTCATGCTTTCTAACTTTTTATATGCGCCACTTTCTGTTACAGGGGTGCCTGGTTGTATTGTCTACAATGTTCTCACCGGCAATGACACGTGCTCTATATAACACATTGTGACCGCTTTTAACGATCCCAGAAGATCTAGAACTGACACTAAATCGCCCCACAACGTGACTTCCCTATAATTTAGACTAGCGCGTGGGAAAAGATTACCAATTATTAGCGAATGACTAAATACGATCTTTGGAGCCAGGAATCGTTACTTCAACCACAGAGGTTAGTTGCGTATCCTTTACAGGACGTTGCAGAATCAATCCTAACAGCCCCTGGCTGTTGTGTGGTTTTTCTAGGCAAATTTACGTCCAGTAGTTTGCCATTGCCTCTGGACGGTCGGCTTTCTTGATACCACTGTCGAAACCAAAGCAAGGCTCATGGCCCGCAGCTGGGATCGAACCCGGTATCCCAGCATTACGAAGCGTTCGCATCGACTTAGCCACAGAGCCGACTTCAACCACAGAGACATACTAAAAATGCGCTGCATTCTAGAGACGTCGAGACAAAGGAGTCAGAAGTGATGAACCAGAAATTGAGCCTAAGTATTACAGGGGACAAGCGTGCAGAAACCGTGTGAGGGCCACAGAAAGAAGATATACTGATCAACTCCTACTGGGTACGTCGAGCATGGAGACAGAGAGAGACCGGATAACGAATTGGTAAGACCGATGTGCTAGCATGTCGAGTGGGACAACAATTTGAGACTTATCTTCTTTAGTTGGTCAAACCACGAAAAGATGAACATTGGAGAACATCACAATAGTGGGGAAAGTCGGAGGGGATGAGTCTGTCTGACTGTCTGTCTGAAATCCTTTCTGTCTGTATATCCAAATGTCTGTCTGTCAGTATTTACATCTGTTTGATTACTTACTTTGCTAATTACACTGGGGAAAAAAGTTTCCTTATTCATTCTTTCCGTTTTCTTTCTACCTTCTATGTAAATGGGTGTTTTTTCATCTGTATCTTTGTGTGTGTTTGTCAAGTGTATTAATGACTTCCTGTCTCTTGGGAAACACAGGTTTGACTAATGACCAACCGATCAGCAGACAAGGAAGCTAACCACTCCAGCACCAGGCTGCCCCTCACTGAAAGACACTTGAATCTATTCCACTCTCGTTGTAACATTCTATCTGGGTTAAGATAACAAGTTCCCCGGGGACAGCCCAGATTATTATGATTATCAAGTTGTCTTGTTCTAAATTTCCACCTCAAATCAATCTGCGCCGTCACAAAACTCAATATTTCCGCAGGCACTTGGCTAAAGCTGTTATTGATTGATGTTCTGTGTTGCTTTATATATTTCTTATTCTTTCTTCTTTCTTTTTGAACAAGCAAAAGCATTGCTGCAGAGTTGTTCGGACATGTGTTAAAATATGCTTTCTTTTGTGGAGTATTTAAAAGTGATTTGGGGGGGTCATGTTCGTAGGCGTATTAGGGGAAATTATCAACTAGGCGTCGTTAAAGAGACGTCGAGGTTATAACCCCTGAGGAGTGTACAGAGTTCATTTGCTATACGTGGTTAATCCGTTCCGGGAACGTGTACCAAACAGAAAGAATGACAAATGAATGTTCTTGTAAAAAATGAAAGCAAACATTATCAATCTACTTCCATTTAAAAAATTTAAAAAAAAAACTGTTATTACCATTGCTATATTATACACTGCATTAAAAAAAAAAATTGCCCAATAGTAAATTATTTGATACAAAAGTCATTAAATGAATCAAATGAAGATTCAACATCACTTTACTGTCCTAGGAAGTCGAGTGCCTACTTGGATGGTGCTAGGGGTTAGAGTGAGATTTTTTTGTTTAGATTGTCTCCGTCCTATACATACACACATGACAATTGACCCGTTAGGGTCGTGAGGTGTATCGATGGAAGGACTAGCACATAAAACCAGCCATATGTCTCTTGTCTTCCACGTGTTGAATAAGTGTATAATAACTTAGTCCTGTCCATTTCTAAATGTTGTCATTTCAGGTTCTTCTTTGCCCTGCTCTTCTTTGACTAACCGCCCTTTCTCCTTCTACCCCCCCCCCCCCTCTCCCAGTATTCGTTAAAGCAGAGTCTTTGTAATCGAATTATATCTCACTATGTGTCGGAACCAAGCTAGCTTGCAAATTTCCCACTGCCAAGGGAGGCTCCTGATGTCTCCTGCTAATGTGTATATTTCTCCTACTAATAAGACTTCAGGAATATGAAAGTGGTATATTGTTTTCTTTCTCTTGTCTGTCTCATGCGGCAATGTGGACGTGGATGAGGCTCATTATGTTCGGCTCTTACTGAAATTCTGCTTGAAGAACGTTCCTTCTGCCTTCTAACCAGGACGCTGTAGAAAGGTGACAATGTATAGTCAATACGGCTTGTTCGGGTTTTGTTGGCGTGCTAATTCTCTGCAACGTCATTTACATCTACCAGTAGCTTTGTCTCGAGATATGAACAAAGACAGCGCGCGGTGTCGTGACTAATTTGGTCTCAAAGCAGATCGTATTCCAAACGAAGGTCGCACACCAAACAAAGGTTTTGATGTGTAAACAGAATGTATACCACGCTGAACCTACACCAAAGCCAACGAGAGGTTGAGTGGTGTCGAGGTATGCCGTCCGACTCGAGTGCTGGAGTCCCGGGTTCAAACCTGGATAAAGGCCGGGATATTTTCACATGGTCTTCTAGTAATTTCCCCTGGTCTCTTGGTAGTAGGATCGGACGCCCGTGTGTATTGTAATAAATCTCTTTGCAGTTAAAAAATCAAAAACAAAAAATAAAACTAGCCTAATGGCGCTGCCCGGGGAAATCATGGAGTAAAAAATCTACCCAAAGTACTTCAGGATCCTCGCAGGTGCAACGGAGTACGTGCACGGTGCTGAGCTTCTTTAGACTCAGGCTTGAGTTAGAAGTAGAACGGAACACTTATGAGTTACAGCCGTATGCCATGATGTGGATCGGTTGAATAAACCACACTAAGTGAACCTATATCTAGGTGCCAGTATACTTCGAAACCTGATCTGTATCGACAGTAGTGAGAAACGAATGTACCCTTCATGATTCTTGTGTACCTCATCTCTTTTAAAAATAAAACTCACACACACACGCAAACCAAAAGTCAAACGCAAGGAGAGAGAGAGAGTGAGAGAGAGAGAGAGAGAGAGAGAGAGAGAGAGAGAGAGAGAGAGAGAGAGAGAGAGAGAGAGAGAAGGGGACAGAAACGGAAAACAGTGATACACAGACAGATACAAAAACAGACATACTTACCTAATAAATCCGCAATTGCTAAATTCACCAGGAAGTAATTAGCCGAGCTCTTGCGCATGCGCCGGTCAGTCAGGACAGCCAATAGAACGACGAGGTTTCCTACGACTGCAACAAGGAAGATTGGGGCGTAGAGGATGACAAGCACCACTGACCCGTCATAGATGTCGTAGAGTTCCTCCAGGCTGGTGTTGCCCGTGACATTGAGAACAGACAGCTGAACTTCTAGAAGCGACATCTGAGGATGGTGCAATCTATATTAATAAAAATGTTAATTTTCCGATGTTGTTATTTAAATACTCGGAAACTACTGAAGCTATTGCTTTCAAATTTGCACACAACGTTGCCTTTGACTCAAAGCGTGATTTTTTGGGGGTCAGAAAATCGCACAAAACACGAACGACGTAGCTCCAGCAACGGTCAAATTATTATTTGCTTAGTTGCCAGCCCGGATTTGTTTTTATTTAATTGGCCATATTTGACTGCTGAGCTTTTATTAAACTTTGCATTATTGTATAATTTCATTTCCACTCTATGCTTGAGTGTTTGGTAGCGTAGTTGGTAGCTCTTCTGCCTATCATGCGGGTGACCCGCGTTCGATTCCCCGCTAGGTGATATAATTTTTTTAGCCCTTGACTTGGCGGCTGGCACGTTGTGTTGTGGTTTATAGCTAGGCTGCGATATCTACGCCTTTTTCGGTTTTGGGGTTTTACAGCTAGCCTGCGACAGCGGCGACGTGATGCTCAATGGTCATGTCACGGGTAATCTTCGTTCGCCCTCGAGAGGGCCGTTGGCACTTTGTGTTGTGGTTTACAGCTAGACTGAGATATCTGACCTACACTCTTCAGTCTTCGGTAGTATAATTGTAAGTATTCCATCCTTCACGCCGGTGACCGGTGTTCGATTCACCGCTGGGTGATAATTGTTTTTTCCCCTTAAACGGGTGGTTGCCACGTTGTGTTGTGGTTTACAGCTAGGCTGCGATATCTGCGCCTTTCGCCCAACGATATCCGATTTCAGTAGGCCCAATTAGCGTCCCCGCGACGCTTCTCGATCAAAAACTATTCGGCGATGACAGAAACTGTTAACTATGGCGGCTTACAGTCCAGTTTAGTTTGGGTGGACACGGATACCAAGGTCAGATGACGGGTGCAGGGTATTTTTCTCCGCTATTCGAGAGTATAGTGTACATTTTATTGTGGGTTCCATCCCTGGTAACGGGATGAAGTATTTTTTTCTATGTCGGGGGCAAAATTAAACTAAATAGTCCGTGGCGACAGCATGTGGCGCTAACTCCTCTTTTCTACACCGACCCACACAGACTGTAGTGACAGTTTTTGTTGTTGTTGTTGTTGTTATTGTGATGGTTGTAGTGGTAGTGGTTGCAGTAGTACTAGTACTGGATGGGTGATGTGGTAGCTGTTACACTGGCCACATTTACTTGTCATTACAAATTAATGCTACATATTTAAGTCTGGATGGACACGGATGCCAAGTTCAATTTAGTTACAATATTTCGTCACATGGTGACCTTCCCATCCTGCGGAGAGGTTGATATGATTACTGGGGGGGGGGGGGGGGGGGGGGGTGGAGGGGGGAGGTTGATGCCAGACACTGTTAACTAAGAGAGCTTAAAACATTGTTTTAAAGTTCTCATTCCTTTACTATATTTATTTCAATAATTTCTCAAGGTGATAATTTTTCCATCCTTCGGAGAAGGAGATATGGTTGGTGGAGGGGGGAGGGGAGGGGGGGGGGGGTTATGCCAGACAGTTAGCCGAGATAGCTTAAAATATTATTTCACAGTTCTCATTTAACTATTTCTATTTTAATAATTTCGCCATGGATTATTGTGCAAAAGTTTATACAGGGATTGTAGAAGTGTAGTTAGAATAAATCAGGGAACATCTCATCCATTCACAGTGACATCTGGAGTAAGACAGGGGTGTGTCTTATCAAAACTGCTGTTTATCACCTACATCGACAGTATATGCAAGAATGCCAAGCCCATAAATGAAAATGTTAGTAAAATCAACGAATTACTCTTTGCAGATGACCAGGCCTTGATAGCAGATACAGCCATGCAATTGCAACAACATCTAACATCCATGAATGAAGAAATTAAAACAAATAATATGAGAATCAACACTGAAAAGACAGAAGTAATGTCAATAGGATAAAGGAAGACAGATCCAAACACAGCAATAGAGGGCAAAGGCATTAAACAGGCATCTGAGTTTAAATATCTGAGAACTACATTTACCGAAGATGGAAAATTGGATAAAGAAATTAACATTAGATTCAGTAAAGCAAACCAAGTATTGGGACAGCTAGCCCCCTCTTAAAGCATAAGACAATCCCAATCAGCACAAAGAGACATCCTATTCAAAGCATATTTATTCCAACTCTGTGCTACAAGTGCCAGACATGGTCACTCACAACAAACCATAAAAGAAAAGTAACCACGGAAATGAGATGACTGAGAAGGGCTGTAGGAGTGACTATAAGAGATAAGATCAGGAATGAGATCATAAGAGAAAAAGTCGGCACAGAACCAATTCTGGATTACATACTAAGACAGCAAATGAAATGGTTTGCCCACTTAGAGAAATGCCTTGTGACACCATCCCATACAAAGCATACATGGAAAGAGAAGAAGGACGTAGAGCACGAGGTAGACCAAGAACAAGATGGAAGGATAACATCAGAGAATTTCTACAACAGCACGATGTGCCTATGGTCGAGGCGACCAGAAGAGATGGAAACAGAACCTAATATCTTCCTCGACACCCACAGCTGTAAAAGAGGAAGTGAAGAAGAAGAATAAGATTATTTTTCAATCCTTCGCAGAGGGAGATATGACTGGGTCGAGGGGAGAGGAAAGGGGGGGGGGGGAGAGAGATATGACAGACAATGTTAACTGAGAGCTATTTTCTTTCCTCTCCATTTCACCATTCTGAACCACAGCAACGCGTGGCCGGGTACAGCTAGTTGTTCATAAACGACTTACAACCTGCTCAATGTCTGGTATAAGTGCAGAAAAAAGGAGCAGAGGCAGGAGGACACCTTATACACACTAGACCAGTGCTCATCGACCTGTGGTGAGTGATCGTGTTCTGGTGGTCTGCCAAAACCTTCTGTTTAATCTGTAGGCGTGGAAAATGGGTCCTTTACGTTTCTCATTCCAGTTAATGCGACGTCGGCCTTAGCTTTAATAAAACTATCTTTAATATGTGCAATTTATTAAACCCCTTGATCTGTGTCACAGCCCGGCTCTCTAGCGTAGTTGGCTAAACCGGATTGCGCGGTGACTTGGTGACGAGCTCCTTGTGGTCCGGGTTCACTCTCGGGGGTAGGCAGAAAAGCCCCATTTTCTCCCAGATTTACGGTATTTATCATGCAATAAAGGCCGAAAGGTTGCGATTTCCATAATACCGAGCCTAAGGGTTAGCAACTCATGGCTTCTGGATAATAAAACAAACAAACAAACATCTCTGTCACAAGATGCAATAAACGGCACGCTCGCGGTCTTCGGGTATTTTTCGATATTGGTGGTATTGCATGAACTTTCATGGGATTAGTGATGGATGAAATGTCGTGGACAATCTACTCTTGCCTCCACACGATGGAGTCAAGACAGACCAATACTTTACACACCCTTACCGCCTCCAACGTGTTACGGTAATTAAATAACACGGGATTTTGTCGGGTTCAACAATTCTGCCCTAGGATTGTACCGGTGAGAATTACCTAAATACCTTCCATTTGGCCACGCGTCTACTGCTCTAATGGGAATATCCCTACTCGAAAAATGTGCGGCCCATTGAGAGATGACAGGAAATCGTTGATCATTAGTGCAAAGTATAGCCCATCTTATGATTGTTATCAATAGGTTCCCACACCCACCCCCCACCCGCTTCCTTTTTTTTTCTTCTTCTTCCTAAGACACTTCAACGTCTACCCTAAACAGTATGCAAGTAGGTCGATAGTATCAGATAGATTCTGGGACAAATACAGCTAAGCACGTGAGCTGAGAAATAGAAAATATACTGAAGATGCCAATCTGGTGACAATACAGAACAGGCGTACAGACACACACAATGCTACACATGTGCCATGATGTTGATCAGTTGTTTAAACCTCAAACGCAAGCTCTTTAGGCCGACAGGCTAACGTCTGGGCACTACGTTACCGCTACTCCAAAACCGTATGTTAAGCTAGTTGCGTAACCTTTACAGGACGTTGCAGAACCAACCCCAATAGCCCCTGGCTGTTGCATGGTTTTCTAGGCAAATTTACGTTTAGTAGTTTGCCATTGCCTACTGGACGGTCGGCTTTCTTGATACCACTGTCTAAACCAACGCAAGGCGCATGGCCCGCAGCTGGGATCGAACCTAGCATCCCGGTATTACGAAACGTTCGCATCGACTTAGCCACAGAGCGGACAAACCGTATGTATTTGCATATATTTAACACAAGAGCTCGAAAATTATGGCAGATTATAAGAACATTTTAAAGGCCTGAGGACCAATATGGCGCCCAGATCAGGGAAAACCTCGCGTGCTGTTAGCGGTTAACTTGGAGTTTAACTAGGTTTTTCCCCCTAGAAATTGGATAATTGTCGATGTCTGCTGTGTCTAGAGACTTGCTTGGGGAAATGATATATTTAGCAAATAGGTAGTTCAGGAGTTGGTTTTAGGGCATTTTATTATCGTTTATCCTAGAATGTGGACAGTGTGCGATATTTGGGTCTATATTTCGTCTATTCCTTCCTTCATTCATTCATTCATTCATTCAGTCATTTATTTATTTATTTATTCATTCATTCATTCATTCATTTATTCATTCATTCATTCATTCATTCATTCATTCATTCATTCATTCATTCATTCATTCGTTCATTCAGTCAGTCATTCAGTCAATAAATTATGAGACTCAGCTAAAAATGACTTGAAGAATTAACATTCAAACAACATCTTTTATTAACATGTTATATCTCATATATATATATATCACAGGTGACTAGTTATGACTATCATCCCTACACTCCAAACAGATCCATAGGTGGCCCGATCTGCTCCTCAGTAGCTCCACAAGAGTAAGCGACGGATGTCGCTGGTGATGTAGAGATTATTCAGACATCGAGTGTCCCTGGCTACTGCAGATTTCACCCTAATGTTCATTAGCCTGGGCAAGGATACCTAGTCCTGATGGTTGTCGTGATCTTCTCTGCGATGT